AAATAACTGTGGCTGAGTTAGCCAGACTGAAATTATGTGATATATTACAATTTAAAACTGTTGACTAGAGGGGTAATTACTGCCCAGTACAGGATGTTTATTCATTCATTAGGCATACTGCTTATATTTTTAGGGTTGCGGAGCCACTGGAGCCAATCCCTGCTGATATTGGGAGAGGGTGGGTACACCCTGGCCATGTCGCCAGTCCATCACATAGAGACAAAGAACCATTCAGGTTCACATTCACACCTACGGGCAATTTAGAGTCGCCAATTAACCCACGCAGGCATGAGGAGAACATGCAAACTCCACACACACAAAGGCCCATGTTCAAACCCAGAATCTTCTTGCTGTGATGCGACAGTGCAAACCACTGCACCACCTCAAATAACTTGGTTTCCAACAGAGAGGATAGCTAACACACTGTAAAAATAAGTCCCTGTGACCAGCCAACCATCAGCCCACGGATCTCTGCCATGATGGCCGGCCTCTCGGCTGCAAAGCTCCAGGCTCTCACTTGGCCAGACAAGCCTTGAGCCTTGATATTTATATAGCAACAATATTGCTAACACAAAGTACAATATTGTCCAGCACAAAGCAAAACATGAAAACATGAAAACATAAGAATCTTGAGAAAATGTCATGACATGCCTTTTCACAGTTCAGCAGCTCTGGCTGGAGACAGAAAGGGAGATTTTGTGGAAACATAATGTCGGCACTTTAGCTGGATGAGATTTAGTTGTTACTAAATTTGAAAATGAAAAACAGTACACTTGTAATGGTAAGATAATCTATATCATAACTCACTGCTGGATCAGCATTAACCATGTGATCTTTCTTTCTTGTGCCATGCATCAAACTAATAATGACCAACATTAATCACATTTTGTTAATATTTTCCATGTGCAAATAGCAGCCAGCTAACCGTTCAAGAATGCTGATTTCACTCATGAGTGTCTGTGCTGAACAACTTGTCCCTGACTTTTGCACTTTATGAGTCCACAGCCTCAACCTGATCGGAGCCCTGAGGTCATGAAGAACGTAATTGAAGGTCTTGGTTCTTCTAAGGATAGCTCTTGGCCTCTTGCCATGTCTGATGCCTCTATTCCTGTTTTCACTTTTTCAAGTGACCTTGACAGAGAGGGGGCCTTGTGTGGGGACGTTTGTAAATATTATTTTTCTTTTCTCATATTACTATTTTTTGTTTTGTTTTGAATGGTTCGCCGACATATGAACCCCAAAATACACAAACTAAGTAATACACCGATGACAAAATGATCATGTCTTCATGACAGTAATGCTGTAATGATGTAGTGCCTTTGTAAATACTCTGTATGTTGTACCTTCGCAGCTCTCCCGTCATTATTTTGTATCTCTCTCAGCGTTATTCACACAATGAGAATGGATAGAAAACATGCTTATTTTTCTTAACTCTAAACAGTAAAAAAAACAAACAAAAAAAAAACACATAGCTGTCAATTTCAATAATTCAAAGACCTGAGCTGGGAGACCAACACAAGTTAATGGAATGCAATGATTTTTAGCCAGGACTTTCAAAGAGTTTGTGCATACATCAAAGCCAGATCAAAAAGAATACATAATGCACACGATTTTGAAATTATGTATCAGCAAGCTGGTCTCATCACAGCACTGAGTTGTTTACTTCCTGGATTCATGTTTCAGCACTAGTAGTAGTAGTTGACCTAGATAGCACCACGCCCCAGAGACAAAAAGATAGAGTGCTGATGACCAGTCTACTTTTTAAAATCGCAGTGGGAGACTGGAACTTCACTTGATGTAGCCTGCAGGTTGTAAAGTAAGTCATGAGTGTAAGGGAGACTGAAAAGTGTAGTGACGGCAAGTCTGCAAGTCAGCCATTCACTCATTGATTCATTGATTGAAAACAAATGGTAGCCAGATTTAGTCTCTGTCCAAAAGGTAAGTCAAAAGCATAATGTTACCCTCACCCTCCTTCCTTTCTCCTCTCTCTTTATTCAATCATTCATTCATTGATCTCCTCCAAAGATCTCCTCCAAAGATATTACATTATGTCTTTGTTCCTTCCTGTCAGACAGTGATTCATTTATTATGGTCCAAAACATTCCAATACGGTGAAGAATATTATAATAAGGTGACTTGGGATTCAGCCTAATGTTTTTCACAGTCACATCACAGCCACAGGGAATGAGTGCAGCATGAGAACCATCAAACAGACCAACATCGCCTGCAAAGATCAGGGGTTATAAGGTGGTGAAGGTTGGGTCATCTGTTGAGAATCACCAGAGACAAATGTGCCGGTAAATATAAAGCATCGAATCACATCTTTTACTGATGTTTATGGATATTCACTTGTCAGCTGTCAAGCTAGGGGGATAAACAGTCATTCATCATTAATTTTACAATCCATTATTCAGGCAGCTGAAATGAGGATTCAAAACTCCTCAGTGGTGACCTTATTCTCACATCTGCTGCTGCTCTCTAGCGCTGCTGCCCCCCCGCGGTGCATAGAAAAACAATTGAAAAACAATTTTTCAATTTTACTGAGATAGGCAGCTCGTGTAAGAGACTCAAGATTTTTCCAATATTGGAAACTTCAGTCTGAATGCTAGAAGATGCTCCCTTAATGAACCACATTTACCTTAATGAACCACATTTATGCGAAAGGGCCCGCTGACTTGCCCACTCGCTTGTCACATACATACACACAAAGCCCCTTAAAGAGAGTGGGTGGGGGGTTTACTGTGCTTATAGGAGACAACAGCTGAGAAGCATCAGTCTATTTTTGTTCTCCCCTCATTTCAGTCTCTCAGAAGGAGGTGCGATCATTAAGGGGTGCCTGAGAATCTGAGATCACACGAGAGGGAGGACAGTCCCTTAGTTAGTTGCCTTAACCCACATTTGTGGAGAACTGTCTGGAACTACACAGGATGGATCTACTGATCCACAAAGCCTGAATCTCTGAATCTTTGTTCACTCTGGGCTACTGTTTAACCACTGTCCCCTGAACTCAACTGAAGGGGGTCAAATGGTCAGTGAGTGGAGATAGCTGCAGTCGTAAATGCCTCAGTTTTAAGTACACTGGAACTCTTCAACTGTATGGATCAAACTTTGTAAACAGAGACAGCAACAGTTGACTGTAGGTGACCGTAGTTACCAGACACAGGTCATCTTCTCTTCGCTATTTACACAAATTACACATGATGGGATTTAAAGGCTAAATCTGTTATCCTTTAGACTACATCTCTTCAAATTTTAGGTAAGAAATACTTAAGTAAAATGAAATAGACTTAAGATTTTTCCACAAGCATGATATCCGGTTAGTGTGGAGGAGGCTTTGAAACATCATTTTCATTTTTTTTTTTTTGGCGGCTTTTGTCAAAATCATGGAGGGGTGGAGGGGTTCTGGGAAAATTCATGATCTCATTATTGCAAAAAAATAAAAAAAATAAATATGAAGTGCTGCTGCATCTTCCAGCCAATGTGAAACAAAGCTGTCGAATATTAGAATAGCAGCCTATTCATTAAAGTACATGGGTGAAGATACCGATTCACAGTTGGAGATAAAGTGAGCAGAGAAGTTAGAAAATCTGCCAGAAATGGTGTGAAACGCGCCGCAGCTCATCGCGAAGGTGCCCATCTCTGTGGCCTGCCTGCAGTCAAGTGTGTGAGGATTTGACAAGAGCAGCCTGCAGCGCGCAGTAGTCCACAACTTGTTACCTCTGAGTTTCCAGAAAAGCCCCTCCTAGGACAGACCCCTCTGCCTGAGCGTCACTCGAAGTTCACTTCAGTCCAGTCCCCTTTTCCTAAGCTCAGATACACACACACACACGCGCGCGCACACACACACACACACACACACACACGCACACACACACACACTGTCATCCACAAACACATTTCCCACAGCGCCAGACGCCTTTTTCCAAACACTCCGCCTGCCGCTTTCCCGGCGCTACTTTTCATTCCAGGTCCCGCACAAGAAGGAGATCTGAAGACCTGTTGGATGTTACTAAGACAATTTTTCTTTTGTTCGTTTGTTTTAAATTTTGTTGCACGAAGTTGACAAAAGTGTTTGCCAACTACTTTTCATTTTTTCTCTTCTGTGACATCAGAGGTGACAACTTTTTTTTTTCTTTTTTTTAAGGGGTGGGGAGGAATATTTCTTGGCAGTTCAACAATCTCGGATCTCATGAGTGAATAAACCGGTTAATTGCTTATCAAATCTCCCGAACGACGCCGTTGGATTAAAATCAGGATTTTCACGGGCAAAATGAATAATTCCGTGAAATAACTCTGTCCTCTGGACCAAAGGATTTCAAGGTATTTTCTTATTCAGCCGTGACTATATGCATTACAACAATCTAGTCACCTCGGAGGCTTCTTTGCGTCAGTACAGTCATTTACTTTCATTTCAGCTGCAAGTTGAAAAGCCTCTCGCAGCTATCCTCTACAGTTGGTTTGATGAATATGAATGGTTTAAGTGCATTTGTGCGCTTGGGCGAGATTAAAGAAAGAGAGACAGAGAGAGACAGAGAGAGAGAGAGAGCTCCTGTGGATTCTGATTTTGCATCTCTCCTTTATTCTCTCTTTATTATTGAATCCTTCCTGCACTGTGATGAATGTTGTCTTGTATCTGTCATCTAGTCAACCCACCAGGCATGTGTAGGAAGCCCAGAGGTCTGTTCTTTTTGAGACAGGTGCAGTGTGTCAGTGTGGCTCTTGTGCGGCTCTTAAGGATAGAGGGTGTCATATGTTGTAGGCTGCAGATCGCACATCCCCTTGAGTGAAATTTGTGCTTTTGGGTTGTAGAAGTAAGACTGACTTGACTCGTGTATGCATGTGTGTGTGTGTGTGTGTGTCTGTATGAGAGAGAGAGATTCCCATCTGGATTTTGGAACATGTCACTGTGGTGCACTTTGCTCTCGTCCATTTGTCTTGATCTCCTTTTTCTCTTTGGCAGTGATAATCTCAGTGTAGCTTCTCGACTGGCGGAAGTGAAGATGTATCGCAGTGTGTGTGTGCCTGCGGCTCTCCTGGTGCTGACACTTGTGGTCCCCGGTGGCCTGTCCTGTCCCAGGAGCTGTAACTGCTACCAGGCCAGCGAAGTCCACTGCACCTTTCGCTCCCTGCTCACTATTCCTCCTGGCCTACCTGCACATACACAACGCATAAACTTAGGGTAGGGAAGACACACAAACACATGCTTTAAACCATGAAAGCGCGCACACGCGCACACACACACACACACACACACACACACACACACACACACACACAAATAAGCCCAAGCCCAACCCCTTTTATATACCTTGCAAACATTCCGACAGTTTGGAACCAAGTGTACAACTACAGTTAAATAACCAGCTAACAATAAAATAATAATATATTTGTTGAATTATTTTTTTAGTCTTAGGTTGATGATGCTGTTTCTGTGCTCCTGTAGGTTCAACAGCATCAGCAGGATCCATGACAGTTCACTGGCTGGGCTAAAGAAGGTAGAACTTCTCATGCTCCACAGCAATGACATCCACCATCTCCCGGACGCAGTATTCAAAGACATGAAATCACTGCAGGTAAACAACCTGAAGTATACCTCTGGTCCTCTACAGTGGAGTAACGGAATCGAAATGAATAGAATTCTAATTGCAGTCAAAACCAGTGGATGATCAACATTTTGTTGTCGGATCCTATGGAAACCTCTGCTCGTTCTTATTTTACAGTTCTACTTTATGGAAGCACCATAGATCACTCCTAGCCAGCTAACAGCAGCCAACATTAAAATTACCCTGAACTGTCCGTTGCCAAACCAAATTAACAATGCTGGATTATAAAATATATGAGTGTTGGGGAAAATAAACCACCTCACAAACTTAACCTCTGAGTCTCTGGAAAGGAAGGTCTTTGCAGGACACAGATGTGAAATTCAAACCTGGGACAAGTCTTCCCAAAGTTTACTTTAATGTTTCTCCAGCCTCAGGCGGAGTGGACCTCGCAGGGGGTCCTGTACTACTTCAGATGCACTTTTCTGCAGACAGCTCAGCTCTCAAACTTTCTACACGGGTAGTACTTGTAGTTTCCAGTCTGTATAGCTCCCTAACGATGAGAGATGAATATATTTAAGCAGTTTGACAGAACAGATTTCAGTTTTTAACATGATGATTAATGTTAGGATTATCAAGATATATAGCATTTGTCAAAAAGGTTTGGTACGATTTGGAGAGGATGCCTCATTGACAAATGTGCCTAAATCTTGCAGTCGGGCTGTTAATAACAAATGGATTCATTGAAGGATCAATTTTACATTTGATCTGTGAAACCAGTATGCAAATTAATACAACAGTTTACAAGATTCTGTTCGCATTTTCAGCACTTTTTTTTCTTTCTTCTAATTTCTGTTCAACTAATGCATAATTTATGTGCCATCATTCTTTTCACCGCTCAGTGACAAGGAAACACGCTGGACATTTTAGCAGCAACCTAAGGGCAGAGTTAGCAGTCCGTGGGGAAGTGATATTACTCAACAAGCAATTGTTCCCTTCATCTCCCAGGCAGATGCTGATATATTTGCCATTGTGTGATAATAGGATCCATATTTCCATGTGCTGACATGGTCATGTGCTAGATCTGTCAGCAGCTGGAACTCTTCCAGCTAAGTAGCCTCCGTGGAGAGCAGATTTATCATAAGCCGCCTCACAGCGACGCAATTCCACAACCTGGTTTTCATGGTGTGCCTTCTTAAATTTTTGGTGGGTTCTCTGCACATGAATAGAATAGCAATAGATCCCCTAGAGTCTTCCACCGAGGATACAGGGATAAAATTCATATTTGAAATGTTGAAGACCCCCAGTGCTAGAATATCCTTTTTAGTTTTCCTTGATTTAACCCGGTAGACTCGCAGCATGAATATATCGTCTGGTTATATGCCGTGGGCCATTTTTATCAACTTTTACATCTGAGTTGGTGAGCAGCAGGAAATATTTCCTCATATTTTTTGCACAGGATGCATTCAGTCATTTTCGCTTACAAATAGTTTTTCACCCAACTCATTTCAATTCTCCTCACATCATTTGTCATAAATTCAATTTACAAGCATGTGGTGTACAGTGACAGACTTATGATTGCAGCATAGACTTGCTTTCTTCGTCAGTCGTCAGCCTTGATGTCTTCTATTTCATTTCTTCCACTCACTTCATTTCCTCCGCACCCCCACAGATACTAAAGCTGAGCTATAACAAGCTGAGCGAGATCTCTTCATCTCTGACCTTCTCTGGCCTGACCTCGCTGCTGCGTCTGTACTTGGATCACAACCTCCTCCAACATATCCATCCCCGAGCCCTGCTCCAGCTGCCTAGCCTCAGGCTGCTACGTCTGCAAGGGAACAGGCTGCATCAGCTGCACCCTCACACTCTGTGCACACTGTCCCTCCTAAATACATATTACTTCTCTACACTCAGGTGAGCTTTAACACTCAAAGCACACATTACATACAATCAGCATTACTATACATTTGAAAGTATAGTTTGAAAAGTAAGCTGAGATATCCGTAGTGGGGGCTCTGATAGTGAGGACAGCAAGGACTGTAGCCAACATTTCCTAATCAAAAATGGGGAGAGCACATTACTCACATTATTTTTTTTTCTAAGTAAACTGATATGTTCAAGTCTGACACTCAAAATCATAAAAAAAAAAAAAAAAAACACATTTGAATTGAGATGAAAAAACTCCCAGATCTGGAAATAATGTAATACTGGACTGACTCTTGTGGGAAACAAATAGTGGAATGGAAAGGTAAAATTTCCAGCACTGGTTTTTGGTATTTAAAGCTACACTAACATTAGTCTCTACCCTTTCTCTGGTCCACTACTGCCGAGTATAAACAACATGAAGGTGATGATGAAATGATAAAAATGATGGATGATTTTCCTACCTCTAACCTCTCACTCCCACATCCTTTCTTCCATTCCTTCATGACTTTGATTCAACCTCTGTGTCCCCCCCCACCCCCACCCCCACCCCCCCCCACATCTCAATCTTTTCTTTCTCTCTCCTTTAGACACCTCGACCTGTCCAACAACAGCCTAACCACACTGCCCAAAGACACCTTGGCGACAGCTCCTCTGCTTGAGACTCTCGTGCTGCAGGCTAATCCGTGGAGTTGCGACTGCAGGATGAGCTGGTTTCTCTCTTGGAGTTTGGCTCACCCAGGTGACTCACATGCCTGAAATACCATTCCTTTTCACTTGTTTTCCCCTCACCTCACACATGCAGTATGTTGTGCCTTTGAGCCAATTCAGCTCAATGAAGAGATGTGAAAGGGCGACTGTTAAAGCGACATGTAGGTTGCATCAGTGAATGAGAGATAGAAAAGAGATAAGAAGCAGAGGTGAAACACGTGGAATGGATTTAGAAACAGAAGACTTTTGTTGATAATTTCACACTATAAACACTCTAATAACTAAAATGTAAAATGTCAAAACCCAGTCAGATGACAGAGAGCTGGGATGACTTTACATTTGGTTTGGTTATCCTGATACTTTTAGACTTCTCTCCACCTGCTCTTCATCACACGCCCTTTTATGTTTCATCCCATCTTCTGTACCTCCTGCAGTCTGCCTCGTGGCTGTTATTGAGATGTGAAAGAAGGCTGGACCGTGAAATGTGTCTCATTGATATGCCAGACTTAACCTGCCATGACTAATCCACGATGACAGCATTGATGTGTGCAGGCAGCAGAGATATAGGCTAATGATTGCTGTGTTATAATGAAGTGATGCATATTTCTGATTTATGAGCAGATGAAGTCACCGTACGTAATTAGTAAGAGATATAAAGGGTAATGAATGCTTAGAAAGAGCTGTGATGTCTAATATATGACACCACTAATATCTGCTGATAGCCGTGATGTGCACTAATGTTGCTATGATGTTATACGCAGTTGATATGCCGGAGATGGCACGTTTTCAACGATATTTGTTTTCTCTGTCTCTCCCTTTCAATTAGGCTTAATGAAATGTCCAGGTGGCCCTCAGTGTCCAACCTGCACGTCGCCCAATTCCCTTCAAGGGCAGGGCTTGCTTGATCAGACTGACCTATCGTGCGCCTCACCTGTCATTCTCTCCCCGGGAAGAAAAACACCTTTGGAGACGGAACACGGTGAAATCCAATCAAGGGAAACCTTCAGAGAGCCTTTAGGCAGTGCCTCTGTGGGTCTATCTGACCTACAAGGGAACAGTGTTGATCTGAGCTGCAACGTCACTCACTCTTTTGACTCTCAGGATATTGCCCCTCCTCCAGATCTCTCTCTTTCCTCCTCTTCTCCTATCCCTCTAGCTCTGTCGCTCTCACTGGAGTGCCCTGTGGATCGAGAGAGCTACGAGCAACTTTGGAGGATCCTGGCTTACTACAGTGAGACTGCGGTTCGCCTCGAGAGGGAAATCATGCTGGGTAAAGCCCCGGCGCTGGCCTACCGCTACAGGCAGGCAGCAGAGACAGATGGATATTATCACACTGGAGTCAAAGCTTCTGTTAAAGTCAGACCGCAGTGGTTACTACAGCCAGCTATTAGCATCCAGCTAAACAGAGCGCAGTCTAATGGAAACAAAGTTCACCTTATATACTCAACAAGAGTCTCTGCTCATCCTGGCCCGACGTCTTATCCCTCCACATCCTCCCCTGCCTCTCACCCATGGGTTCTGATTTCAACTAGTCAGTCCACCACAGCAATGGCAGCAGTATCAGGCAGTAAGGTGGAGCTCTCCTGCCCTCATCTAAGTTCGGGTAACGCTAAAGTACAGTGGATTCTCCCGGACGGATCCAAGCTCAACTCCCCCTCCAGCAGCCCGGATGGTCGGCTCCGAGCCACAGCCTCGGGTTTACTTCTACAAAAAGTACAGCTCTCAAACGCTGGGCTTTACTACTGTGTAGCCCAGGCTGGCAGGGATGTAGATGTTCTCCCTGTGCGCCTGGCAGTGGAGGAGTCGTCTGTACCTCCTTCAGGAGAGGAAGTGGGACCTCCTGTCACCGGAGGAGTTAGGGAGCCCATCAGTCTGTCCTGCAAGGCATCTGGTTCACCGGAACCTCATATTAGTTGGGTGCTGCCAGATGGAAATATAATACGGTCTGGATTATTTGTATCAGGTGGACTCACCTTAACGCCGAATGGAAGCCTGTCTCTGTCCAACCCTTCTCTGAGGGATGCTGGTCATTACCGCTGCATTGCGGTCAACCATTATGGCAGTGACTCTCTGTCCGTGCAGTTGGAATTAAAACCACAACATCCCCCTCCACTTAGAACTTTGTTTCCCAGAGGGCCACAGTCAGCCGCGGGTCTGTCAACCAAGATTCGAGCCCCTTTACTACGTCAGATGGAGGAAGGATCAGGGGATGAAGAGGAAGGAGAGGAGAGAACTCTTTTTGGCAATAGGAGGCGTCCAGGACTTCGCCAACCTCTCCCTAACAGACGTTATCCAAATGGAAATCCCCGAAGACGTGGGCCTGTGAGAGAAGGCCCCCTGAGAAGAGGAGGAGGGCCTGTATCCTCCACTGACCAGAGAAGAAACCGCTTTGAAAACAGACACAGAGTGACCACAAACAAACAAAGAATAGACCCTGAGAAATGGGCTCACCTACTAGCTAAGATTCGTCAAAAGACTTCTAACACTAATAACAGCCAGCCCATCACAGCAGGAAGTCCCACGGCTGAACCGGTGGGGAGAGGCAGAGATGGAGACGCAGCAAGAGAGGAGCAAGTGGATGATACAGAGAGAGGTAGAGCTGAGGGAGCGGGGGTGGAGGCAGAAACTGAAGGGTCATCTGTTGATGACACTGTTCTACAAGAGGAAGGCCTACAGCCCATCCATCCTGTTCTCACTGAGACACAGACACCCCCAGAGACAAAAACAGACACAGAGATAGAGAGAGGGACAGAGAGGCCAACAGAAACACAAACAGACAAAGAGAGTCAGAACCCAGGTCCACAGACGCAGACAGTGACAAATCCAGAGGCACAGAAAGAACCAGATGAATCTAGGCCAAACACTGGAGCTAATGAAATTGTGCCAGAACCAGCTGAGGGAGATGGCCGAGGAGCAAACCAAAACCCATCTAGACCCAGGCCTCAGAACCCGCGGCAGGGACTCTTACCTAATTTGGTTCCAAACTCTCGACCTCAAAGCCCTTGGAACTCTCGCAGGAGGATCGGACAGCAAAGACGAATCATCAACAGGCCCAGGGTGCAGCCTTTGACCCCACCCCGACCTCTCCCTGACCCTACAAAGCAGAGGTCACAAACCGTAACACCTGACACTACCACAGATAAAAGTAATATGTTGCTGACAACAACCACATCTCCAGCTATTTTGTGGACAAGGAATGACCATATTAAGACTACTCCAAATGGTGTGGCACTGAATCCTCTATCTCATGGTATCTCCACCTCAGAATCTGCCTCCGCCTCTGCCACCTCCTCCACCTCATTATCTCCCTCTCACAAAGAGACACATATAGACACGATGACTCACTCAGCCGACATCCCGGACACTGCAGAGTCCGATCGCTCCAGCGCAGCCACACCAGCGTCCACCCAGTCTAATGTTGTGATTTCACAGACACATGTGCCAGACACGCACACCAAGACACATGGCATACAGACACAGACAAAAACAGGCACGGCCACAGGCAAAGATGTTGATAGACCCCTAAGCAGACACAGCGAGGAGCAGGACAGGAATTTGCCGGGCGTACCATATGAACCACACTCCACCGCTCTCCCTTCTACTCACACCTCCGTTATTCCCTCCACAGTCTCCAGTGCAGCTACAGCCACGACTGCAAAAATCGCAACAGCTCCTTCAACCACTACTCATTTAACTAGTTCTGGTGGAAGCACTACAAGTACATCTACTACTACAACTAGTGAGGAGACACTTCCCACAACAACTACTCCTATGACAACATATCCAATCACGCCTACTACAACTGCCATTATTATTCCAACTTCTAGCACAACTAGAAGTACTACAACTACTCCTACCTCTACTACTACCACCTCAACTCCTATTCTTACATCTACTACTCCCATTACCACTACTATTTCAACAACTACTTTTACTACTACTACTACTACTACTACTACCACTACTACTGCTGCTGCTACTAGTACTAAAATCTCATTCAAAGCTATTCCTACAACTCCTAACCCCACTACTACAACTACTACTCCTGCTACGAGTACTAGAATGAGCACCGTAGCTGAAACTTCTTCAACCACCACTAGAGCATCTACTTCTATTACTCCCACTACTACTACCACAACAGTGACATCAACAACTACCAGAGTGTCATCCAGAGAGAGGCCAAACGTTGGCCAAGTTGACCCCCGAGGGAGGCCTGTTTCTGGGGCTCCAAACCAGAGTCGCTCACCTCCTGACTGGAAGAACCCTGGAGCTAATTCTATTCCTGATTCACACAGCAGCAGGCCACGATGGTCTCCCTCCCCTTCGCTCCCTGCTGTCCCTGGGGTGAGTTCACATCGATTCGAATGACATGATATTGATATTTTGTAGATCCTTTTACCCAAAATGGGTCTTAATGCAAGCACATACATTACAACAAGAGTAAGAGCCAAGTTAGGACCAAAATTGGCTCTTTATTTGTTAATTTAATGGCGACTCTAGCTAAAGTTTCCCCATTTATCCCCATTTTCAGTCATTCATTCAATTAGTCATTTCCTAAAGTGCACTTTTAAATGTAGTTTGCAACTATTCTTCTTTGTTGTAAGCTAAGTGGAACTCAAATTAACATTTACTTTCTAAGTGAGTGCTGGCCCAGAAAATGACAACACACACACCCACACTGCACACACACACACACTACACTAGACCATGAAAGCCCACGGGCAAAAGCTTAGCAGAAAACGCAATATAGATCTGAAAATAGTCTAATCTGTATCCACATGACCTGCTATTAAACCTGAGGGATGTTTATGACAATTCTTCAATTTCATGGCTTTTCCAAAGCACTGCCAGTGTCCCTGTCATATCTAAAGAAGAGATGAAAAACATATGTTAAGCAATCAGCAACATTTTGTGTTTTCAGAGCCTAATCCCAAGGGAGTTAAAATAATCAATTGTTAATTAATTTCCAGAGCTGTGCTGGCAAGTCTCTGCAGACCACACCGCTGGGTCCACCACCAATGAGTCACTCTTAAACTGGCATCACAGTAATGCTGTATTGAATTTGTAACTCCATTCCACAGTCACACTTTAAATATTCACTACAAAAGTAATTACAAACTTTTTTATAAAACACTTTATTTATAAATTTACATATTCGTGTCAGTATCGGTCAGTTTTTAAATTGGGCAACTTTTTTGAATACTTTTTTGTGCTCATGTAGAATTAGCCTTAACTCCAAAACTAAGTTTTGATTCATCTATTTGTTGGTTTCATTTTGTATGGGTATTGGGTTTTTTTTTTGTCCTTGAAAATTGTCATATATATAGCACTTGGCCAAATTATCAGTTTATTACAGTATGGCAATAATGTAGATTTGGTATTTTTACTATTGGACAATTCTCATGTTTTATTTATTGAGGCATTGCTGTGCTTAGGCTGATGTTCACTTGCAAGTTCTGCAATCACATGCTGTGTAGCTGAAAAATTAAAAGTCTTAAGACAAACACAGTGCTGCAGCTTTGTAAAATGAAGAACTTTAATCTTACCGCTTTCTCATGTCTTGTTAATGATTTTAATTTAATTGTTATAATATTAATTATAACAATTTGTTTTAAAAGGATTCATTATTTATAGTATTCATTACTTGTTTTCTAAATAAATTCATAGGCCCCAGTTGTGAGATCCAGACCAAGGATTGCAGACCCACACATCAGGACAGTGTCGTTCCCAGCAGAAAGCACTGCTAGGCTGGCTTGTGAAGCTCAAGGAGAACCGAAACCCTCCATCACATGGACCAAAGTTGCCACAGGTACACACGGTGCAGATACGCACACATTTATCTGAGCTCAGGCGCATATTCATATTTTCAAAAGACACCTCTAAATGCACGAATGTATAACTCAGGATTTAGTTTTGTCTTCAGTTTACGTTTGTGCAAAATATTCACCTGCAGGTCTATCGAATTAGGTGCAGTGACTGATGCAAAAACTCTGAAGATTACTTTTGCCAGATTACTCAGTAAACCGGCTCTCCGGAGGAGGCTGCAGGCATATATATTTTTGATTATGTTAGGTAACACAGAAATTTTTATTTGTTATCCAGAAGTCAATTATGAGTGTAAATACCTATTTCTATTTATATGGTTAAAACTACAGGTTGAACAAATAAAGCTTTATAGTTATTTTCTGATCTGACAGATTTTAAAGGTAATTTCAGACTCAGCTTTAATACAGTATGGACTATAATGGATTGAATGAAAATGAACACATTTCACACTGATGATATAACGCATTAACACCCATCATTACGCACTGGCATGCATACAATAGGCTTTTCAGTCGCTTGCCATGTGGGAAAGACATACTGCAAGAAAGTAACGGAACATTTTGTGCACTGCATCACTGGCTTTACTTCACGCCGTGCCACTCGGCTTGTCCCTGTTCCTCCTTTCCTCTCTGTCTCTTACTCACTCTCTAACTTTCTTTCCCAATTTGTCTCTGTTTTCCCCGTTCTGTCTGCTCGCTGCTGCTCTCTCTTGCTGTCTGTTTGTCTGTCTGACTGTCATGCTCTCTCTCTCTCTCTCTCTCTTTTTCAGGAGCAGTGATGTCATTCCACTCCAAGGCTCAGCGTTTTGAGGTCTTGCCAAATGGCACCCTTGTTATCCAGAATGTTCAGCTGCAGGACAGGGGCACATACATCTGCAGTGCCCAGAGCTTCCTGGGTCGTGACAGGTGAGACTACTGATTCCATGATTTGATGAATATTAGCACTGTGTAACGTACATAGGGCATAACATATTCAGGATTAATTATGCAGGCCTAAGGCAAACTGCAGTTTAATTGTTGTGTTGGTAGTTTTTCCCACTGAATTTGCAAAACAAATGAAACTTGTCAGGTGCAAACACAGCTACAAACTTTGATTTACTATTTTTAAGCAGCCTCAAGACATATGCAAATATCCCTGTTTGAAATCTGTCTATAAGATTTGTGTTTGAAATGTATGACCCAATATGTGAGTGTAGGATTTCTGTTTGAACCATCGATGTATGCCTTTGGCTGCTTCCTTAACGTATCACATGACAAATATGGTTTGCTTTTACTTAAATTGTACATATGAGATACTAAATATTTGTTCATGTGTTTCTTTATTGAGTATGCGTGTGCTTTGCTCTTCCATGACAGGTTGCTAACTACCCTGGAAGTATGGACCCGCCCCCCTCGGATGCAGCTGCCGAGTTACAGAGAAGACACCATCCATCAGGGCGGGGAGCTGCTCCTGCAGTGCCAGGCGGACGGCGTCCCTGCCCCTCTGCTGTCTTGGGTTCTGCCTGATCGTTCTGCCCTGACGTCCGCTGCCCCCTCTGCCGATCGCATCTTTATGGACACAAATGGAACCCTCCATATCTCAGTGACTTTACCGAGTGACAGAGGAATGTATCGCTGTGTGGCCTCCAACTCGGCAGGTGCTGCCAGTGCCTCTGTGCGTGTACACGTGTCCTCGTTGCCCCCAGTGATACAACAACCCAGAGAGGAACACCTGCTTTTGTCTCCAGGGAGGCCTGTTTATGCTCACTGCTCTGCCCGAGGTGCTCCACCACCAACTCTGCGCTGGCGAATCCCAGATGGGACTCTGGTTCGCCCATCCCAGTTTCTCCATGGCAACCTCTTTGTCTTGCCCAATGGGACGCTCCATATTCGAAGAGCTGGGCCAAAGGACTCAGGGAGTTATGAGTGCACCGCAAGTAATGCTGTTGGAGCCGATAAGAGAACAGTCAGGGTAGAAATTGAAGGGGGAGCAGGAAAAGCAGTTCCTACTGAAAAACCATACCCTTCATATTCACTGAATAAAGACAGAGCTTTGTCCGTCCCTAAACACCCAGCAAATCCATTCAACTCCCCTAAACTTTCCCCTCCATTGCTCTCTGATAGATCCAGGACCTTGCCACTAACCCCGAGCTTCACTCGCTCTTCTCCCTACCCTCACCAATCCACTGACACTAACTCACTGCCTAAAATCAATAACACAGTCACTGCCTCCCCCGCACACTTTACCGACACCAACAAAACAAAACTTTCCACTCCCTCCCTGCCCCCCACAGTGCCTACAAATAACACCAACGTCTCACCCAGTGTTGTAAACAACACAAGAGTTACTTCTTCTTCCCCCTCTGACAAAAGTAAAGTTTCAGCTGTTTTGCGTCCCTTGCCCGTCTCCCCCTTCAGTAAAGCCCGTATTGTCTCTACATCACCCTCCGTCACTACTGTCCGCTATGGGGGGATTTTGCAGCTCCACTGCTCTGTTACTGGCAACCCTACCCCCATCATTATTTGGAGGACCCCTACGAGGAAACTGGTGGACATGCACTTCAGGTACAGGGGATGCGGGTTTGTGGCTTTAAATTTTGTTGATGTTACAATTATATCTTGTGATCATTCTGTGGGTACTGTTTCTCATTCTGGATGTGTCTCTGTTTTTGTTGTTTTGCGTCTACATTTGAATTAAAGTTTTGACCGTCGCCTGAAGGTGCATCCTAATGGCACCCTGTCAGCCCAGGCAGTGACGGAGAAGGATGCTGGAGACTACCTCTGTATCGCGCGCAACAAGGTCGCAGATGATTATCGCCTGCTGCGTGTCTCTGTGACTACCAAGCCTGCCAAGATCGAGCCAAAACAACCACTCAATCAGATGGTGTCACTCGGCAAGCCACTGAAGGTGAGCTGAATGAAAGTTCTTGCTCCTAGTAATGATTTTTTTCTCCAATAAACACATACCAGCAATTATTAGGTTATTAGGTATTTAGTGTAATTACTTTTTCATACTTCTTGCCCATTTTACATGCATTTAGTTTTTTTTATGATGCATTTGCATCACATAGTTTCGTTTTAAACATCCAGTTTGTGCTAGTAAGATTTGTTGTACTGTGAATCATCAGACATCACACACATATTTCTGTCCCATAGCTGGTAAATTACACCAAACCTAGCAGAGAGAGAGAGAGAGAGAGAGAGAGAGAGAGAGAGAGAGAGAGACTTTTCAGTCTGTCTTCCACACCTCCTGTGTTTATGCTTTATTTTTCTCAGTGGTATGTGTTGGGTGTCTTCTATCGCTGGGTGGGGTGGCAAAAACCTCCACAGCTCCAGGCTGTATCTTTGGTTGCTTTTGATCACAGAGTGCTTCATATTTTTTGACTCAAAAAGAAAAGGAAGACCTGCCAGGTCATGGGATGTTATGAATTATGAACAGTGGCCTTCGGGGGCTAGTGCTTCACACATGAATATGTAACAGCTCAATGACAAATAATGCAAGACAGGAAACTGTGTTATTGTGAGAATTTGTTTCCCTTCATATTTTTTTTTTAATTTTAACATTTGTGAGCTTTTAAATAGTATTTTTTGAACGCGTCTGGTTGCTTTGTTGTAAGCCATGATAAAGGACCTTAATATAGGCAAATTACAAACAGAAGAAGTTGTTATTTTCTGACACTTGTCAGAAGTTCAGCTTTCATCACAATAAAAAGGCACAAAAACTAAGAGATAAGATACCATCATTAAATCGTTGACCCTGTCCCCTGCAGGTGGACTGCCAGGCATCAGGACTGCCTGACCCAGCTGTTCACTGGAGTCTACCAGATGGAACCATGGTGAACAGTGTGTTGCAGGGGGAGGACAGGGGAGGGCGAGCACGGAGGCTAACTGTGTTTGACAATGGGACTTTACTGGTTCCAGCCGTGGGTATGGGGGAAGAAGGGGAATATACGTGTTATGCTGAAAATCAAGGAGGTCAAGACACCATGAAGGTAATAAAACTATTCCTACCTGAAGATAACGTTGATGTATGTAATTTACCTCGGCTGATTTATTGCTGTTTTAGTTAACTTGGAAATATGAATATTCTAAAACCAAAACTCTTGAACTGCATTGAAAAAAAATGTGAATTAATTCTTTCAATTTATTTGCTCCATTAAGGTCAAAGTGAAGGTCATGATGACATCTCCACCAACCTTCACAGATGACAGAAGCTACCGCGTCATCAAAATACGTCAGGGGGCAACCGCCACAATTCACTGCCGGGCTGCAGGAGATCCTGCCCCAACAGTGACGTGGTTCTCCCCGGCCCGCCGTGTCATTCCACGAAGCCTGGGCTCTGGTTATTATTCTGAGAGAGTTGTGGTGGTTTCCGGTGGAACTCTGGAGGTCCGTCTGGCTCAAAAGATTGACACGGGAAACTACACATGCCGGGCAAGCAACTCAGCTGGGGAGAGGAGCATGGCGGTGGGCCTGGAGGTGGAGACTCCTAACCATGGAGTGAGTGGTCAGGTGGGAGGAAGAAGTACTAGCAATGGGTCCGGTGGTAGTAGATTAGGGGACAACATGAATAATGCAGGAATAGTCCAGTATGGATTTATCAATGGAGCCTCAAGCAAGCTCGGTAGCAATAACAGCAGCAGTAATGGCTATAGTGATAATAATGGCAGGATAAGAAACATCGAACCAAACACTGGCATTCACACAGCAACCAGTGCCTCTAATCCTGCCCTAAGGAGTGAAAGTCGAAATGGATTCAACAGACCTGTCAGTGGGATTACAACCCAACTTGGCAGGAGTGTAATCAGTGTCGGGGTGAGCGGGGTGAGCAATATAGGCTTTAAAGCAGACAACACTGGGATAAATAGAAATGGACCTGGCATTGTGAGTAGTAGTAGTAATAGTGTGGCTAACAGTCACAGCACAGGAGCAAGTGTCGGAAAGATTTCTGGGACTAATAACAATGAAGTCATAGCAGGAAGGGCTAGTAATGATGCTAACACCAGTAGAGATAATGGGAGGATAAGTGGTACTTCTAGAAATGTTGGCGTTAGCAGCAGCGTGTCTAATAGTGGAGCTGGCACAGGAAATTGGTTCCCTCGGAGTGGTGTCAATGTAGCTGTGCCCAATGATGACAGAAGGAGTAGTGGTGGCATAGCTGTTAGTAATACAGGTACTAAAAACTCTACTAACACATTTGTGGGTGTGGTAACGACAGTGAAGCAGCGAGCGGTCAAAGGCCGCACTGTTCTTTTGCCGTGCCCCTCCCAAGGCTCCCCTCCCCCTCGTCTGGCCTGGCTTCTGCCCGGTAACGGAGTGTTGCCAGCTCCTTACTACGGCAGTCGACTCACTGTGCACCGAAACGGCTCCTTGGAGCTGCGGGGTGTGCGAGCGAGTGACGCTGGGACATTGGTTTGTGTAGTGAGAGGTGAGAGAGGAGAGACGAGGATACAGGTGGAGCTGGAGGTCTCTGAGGCGCAGGAGGAGGCCAGATCTCCACACAGGGGAACAGCTTTGGAAAGACCTGAGCAGAAAAATGCTGGAGCCTCAGCTAAATCCTTCAGCTCAGTGTTGCCTGAGAAGCTTCATCCAAGAATCCCAGTTACTCAAAAGCCTCTGCAGAGGGGCCTGAGCTTACCTGCCCCACCTCGCCCTGTTGGTCCTCAACCCCACTCAGCTGGAACTGTGTCAGAGCCAGCAGTGAGCACCAGAACAGCCTCCTTGGTGAGCATCATCAACGGAGAGACCCTTCGCCTGCCTTGCCCTGCTCCTCAAACAGGATACACCCAGGGCTCTCTCTCGTGGACCATGCCCAGCGGCAAGGTGCTGTCACGGGGTGAGAGTGGCGACTCGGAGCGAATTTCAGTCCAAGAGGATGGAACATTAAAAGTGCAACAGGCCTCTGTGTTTGATCGAGGCACCTACACTTGCAGATCCACCAGTTATGACTCCACTTCAGTTTCAGTCATCACAGTTCCCGTCATCGTCATCGCCTACCCCCCGCGGATCACAACAGGCCCCTCCCCTGTGACCTATACGCGGCCGGGGGTTGCTGTGGAGCTGCCCTGCCTGACCATAGCGACACCGCGGGCGACAGTGACCTGGGAAACACCAGACCTGACACAGCTGAAGGTGATGGGGCAGGCTCGTATCTATGGCAACCGCTACCTTAGTCCTCAGGGCTCCTTGGTGATACAGAACCCGACAAGTAGGGACACTGGGTTTTACAGATGCACAGCCAAAAATGTAATAGGAGTGGACACCAAGGCGACCTATCTGCATGTTATATAATGAGGTGAAGCAAACACACACGCACACACACACACACACACACACACACACACACACACACACACACACACACACACACAGTAGAAAGACAGAGACCCCACCAGTCTTCTATACTGGTGAATGAACTCCTCTGCTGTCCCTCATGCCCAAAGGAACTGCAAGGCTCCGTGCAGGAGATACTGTTGAATCTCAGAAAAGACACTACTAATATACAGTGTATGTCTTGTGTTTTTTTTTTTTTTTTTTTTTAAGTATGACTTTCCTATTCCGTCTTGTTTTTATATCAGGAGTTGTGGGATTCTCCGCAGAGTAAGAGTCACGCCTTTGTCTCTGCATGAACAACGTGTTTAAGGAGAATTGTTGGTGGTACACACTTAACCTGTTGTGCTCTTCTTGTCAGTTTGTCAGCATAAAACATTATATGAAGTTAAATAAAATAAACAACAGATGTAAGATTGCTGCAAAAATGTAAATACCCACATCTGTTTAAGTGGAAAAAATTAACATCAGTTTTTCAACACTGGTTTTGTTTTCCTGCCTTGTCTTAAAAATTCAGGACCAGGCAATGTGGACAAACAATCCAAAAACATGACTTTTACATCTGTGTATAAACTACTAAAGTTTTCATCATGTCAAAACCCTGCAGTTTTCATGGTTTTATACCTTGTGAATGATTATGTGATCATTCTTCCATTTTCCTCTATTTTTCATTTTGCTCAATAATAGCTGCACGCAACAATACAAAAGCCTAAAAAACAAAGGGGCTTCACTTGGATTCATTACTTTACTATGCATTTGTACACTAACATTGAACTACAGTGTAATGTACAATACAGTATGTCTTTGGGTCACTGAATAATAATACATCATCACACGAAGAGGCGGATTGTGTACATTAGATCACATAATATGATCCTCTTGATATAAAATCATCTTTTTTTTTTTCAAATGCTGCAAATTGGAATTGAATTTACAAAAATACACTCAGATTAATACTTATTAACTATTTAAGTACTTTTTACATTTTTAATTTATAAACTACATATCTCAAAAAGGTTGTATGTTGTTGTTGTGGTGCATACGTAGCAAACATTAACTTAAATTGGCCGCCTTATTATCATTGTACATGACATTAAATCTGTGACGCACATGATGACGGAGGACTTCAGCATTATGATCCACCAAAACTTCTTCAGGACTTTGTGAAAACTCTTCTCGTCACTGCTCTACCACCATCGACTGTATCTCACATTCTGACTGTATTACTTTGGCCTAATGAGATGCGGTACAAAGCATTCGTGTTGACGCAATAGCCAATTATTTTACGAGTGATTGTTTCGATATACAGATTGTATAAACGCGCGTGTGATTCAAGAGCCTGCCCTTAGTTTGTGCACAGAGCGGGTAGTTCATAGTCATCCTTAATCTTTTCTTTGATGTTTTCATTTTTGTCCTTAAATTATTAGTCTTGTAAAGACTCTGTTGTAAGACACCAGTGTTTTGTCATAAAAGGAGAAATTATTAAATATTATTATGTTATGTTTGATGTCTCACTAGCATTGATGATTGCCTGCTATATTTTTAACGGCTTCATTTTATAAATAAAAATGGAAAAGAACTGAAAGTGTTTACTCCATGAAATATCCGCAGCTGAAGCACAGTTTTGTTCAGAAATATGCTCCAGATAGTGAGTGTGTGCTTGTGTGTGGGTAAGTGTGTGCGTATTAAGTCAGAGTGAGAAAAGAAAAACACCTAGTGGGAGTGAAAGAGTGAGGAAGGAAACTTTTCCCTGAGTATATTATGAGAACAGAAACTCTTTATCCCCAGCTCAGCTGTCAAACCAGGAAATGGGGTCTTAACTGTAGATGAGACACATGTTGATGACATCATATTTCTTTCCCTGGGAAATGAAATAAAGCTCACAGCAGCCTGCTGAGCACCACTATGCACCACCCTGTGCTCACACCTGCCAGGGGCTGTTTACACTGTGTAATCCACTAAATAGCTAGACTTTAATTCATAAACTATATGTCAGGGCAGAGCAACTTGATGGGGTGCTACTTCACCACTAGTATGAAAGAAAATAATGTCAGCTAGAGCAAATGATACAAGGTGTGCACTGGAGGATGACGGGCAAAACACTGCCCCTGCCAAAGCATCGGCTCCTCTGGTAAAAACGCTGCACGGAGGATTTATTACTGAATGTTTTTGTTTTCTGAGCTGTCAGCAGTGCCGTCGCAATGTGCATACTGTAAACCACAACTTTCAGATTGTTTTTATTTTTCCCAGTTGTGAATCACTTCTGCATCTCCTGCACTGTGGGGCAATGATGTCAATCAACACCACACTCAAAACTGATGACATTTTGTGTCTACATGCTGGCATTTTTATTTACTTTCTTTAGACATGTGGTGTGAACGTGCTGCACACCCAGAAAAACAGTTAGAATAAGAGTACAAAATGCAAGTAGGACACAGCCCAGGACTACGTCCTCAGCCCTTGAGGCTAACACCAGTCACTTGGCTAATTTAGCACTCCTCTACGGTCCACCAGTTAGCCCATGGCTAATTTTTATTATCTTATTGTTCATGACATAAAGTTGTTAAGTTGTGGTTAGCTCTGACCTAAAATCAGCTCCAGTGATACTTGGAAAGAGTTAGTGTGCAGCCTTTAAAACGCTCCAAATGTTTTTAGTTCTGCACTAAATGCTCTGTAATCAGACTGTTTAGTCCAAATGAACATAGTCTAAACTTGTTAATGCCATTAGTCAAACCCTGTGGAAAATGAAAGTTGTTGCACTACTGAAATGTTAAAAAACAAACAAACAAAAGATTGAGCCTTTGCAGAGCTGAAGCTTATTGATGTGAAGCTGTTCACAGATCAAAAACAGTGCTTATTAAAATCATTGCAGTGCACCACCCACTAATTTAGGCAGTTTGGGCTGAGTATCCAGAGGGAAATATAGTGCAGAGGAGCAACATTAGAATTCTGTTTTGTGCTCGACTTTTGATGAGGCCAGTTGTTCTCTGTGGAGGATTTTCATGTTTTGAATTACCTCCTTTATAGTGTTGGAGCATTTCCCTCCATTGTGCCACATTGATTTTATGGATCTATGTTTGTGATCCATTTCAGCAAATGCATTATTGCTAATCATTCTTTTCTGTGCTGCTGCAAACTCCCAAGCATATAACTAACTAATAAATAACAGCACACAGGTATTTTATTTTGCACCTATTTCACTAACTTTTGACACGTCCTGATTGGACTGGCTGCAAATGTGAGGCAAAAGACTTAAGATCATTTTAAGTGTGCATCAAATCCAACAGTAGCAACCACAGTGTCAGCATTACTAAAACTGTCTGCACACATTACTCAGACATCTGATAAAGTAAATCAACTACAATTACTTTCGTCAAAGCTTTTCATTTACACTGATGATCCACAATCCAGCAAGAGTGCATGAAGCCTCATCACTGTCAGTGTTAATGGTAATACCATAATTTATGCAATAATACACTGGAACACTGGAAAAGCCCAATAATACATGAAAAGTACCCAAGACTCACTGTTCGGAGACATTATAAATAAACCACTCCTACTCTACCTGGAAACTCAAAAGTACACAGAACACTTTGTAATACAAAGCACACATTGCTGCTACATCTGCTCATATTTTGCATATTCACATCAACGGTGTCATCAAAGATTAGTCATGCCAACTAAATCTGGCATATCAACAAGACACATGTCACGGTCCACCCAGCTTTCATGTTTGTATCGCCGCGGAAAGACAGACACCAGCTAGTCATCTGTTTCTGTGCGCTCTGATTTTTGTGTGTGTGTTTAAATAGGAAACAGGCAGCGCAACTTCTTTCAAAGGCCTTTTTTTTTTCTGGCCAGTAAAGAAACTTAATTATACTTTGGAGGGAAACCACATGCACTCAGGTGGGAGTTTTATTTCAAAATGTACTCTGCTACTGATTATCTGCAAAAATTGTAATCAGTAACGTAATGGTTGTATTACTCAGGTTCAGGGATATCATTTAGACCAGGGAAGTATTCCATCGCCCACAGAGAGGCCTCAGACGGCTTCATTACTTTAATGTTGCTTTAGAACAACAACGCACTTTGGAGAGAAAAAAGACATTTTCATGCCTCATTAGGTTCGCCCATCATGAATGTGTTTTTCCAACGTAATTTTCCTACTCCAAAGAAAATATTAATGATATGAAAATATGAAGAAGGGTCTGAAGCCTTTCATTTCACAGTAATAATGATTATATAACTGGAAATAATTGGAAAATTATTCCTGCATGGACGAACGCTTGGGAAGTGCAGCGCTTAGTACATGACATCTTTGCCCTATGGTTTCAGATACATGAACGGTTTATTTTTTACATTACATCAACTCTATCAACTCGAAGTAATGTGATGTTTAAAGGGCAGAGAGTCCAGTCAGATTTAACTCTAACTACACCTCACTTATCTATTATTTCTCTTGTGTCTACCTCTAGTCTCACCATCAGAGAGAGTTATGAGCCTTTCCACCTTTTCAATTACTATTTTCCTCGGATGCATATTGCATATCCTAAGATCGACATTTGAAGTAATCAGCTGATGGAAAAAGAGAAATTACGACGGAGTGTGTGGGAGGAGAAATACCGTAGCAGTTATTTGGCCTCGATGTCATAAAAGAAGACTTCAGTTAGCTGTCGTCATATAGATTTCATACACATGACTCAATGGGAGCACAGATGGTGACTTAAAATATGAGGTTTAAGACAAGATCCAACATGAGTCTGCAACATGAACCAGATGTGCATACACACAAGTACAAAGACCAATAAACATGTACACCATCCTGAGCCAAGTGATATACAGATATACATAACACGCAAACACACACACCATAATTTATAGACCTGTATAGACCTTACAGCTATAGCATTTCACCAGCAGCTCAAACATGTTTGTAGAGGAAGAAAAGATCAACACAAAGC